TCAGCAGCTCCGGGAAACGCGAGGTGTATTTCCGCACATCCGAGGGCAGCTTGCGGCCCGGCCGCAGGATGCGGATGGAGGCGATGGCGCCGAAGGGGCTGAACATCCTTGTGATAGTCTCCAGGAAGTTCTTCTGGAGCGGTGGCAGCACCCCCTGTCCCTGGGGCAGCAGCTCCCAGGCCAGCAGCAGTTTGCTGGGGGGGATGCTCAGCAGGGACTCGGGGACCGGGACGCGCCGCCGGACTTTGGTGCCCTCCTTGTTCACCTCCAGCAGCTCCGAGAACTGCAGGGCGTAGAGCGTCAGCCGCCAGTCCCGCGTCAGGTATTTCACCTGCAGAAGAGAGGGGGTCACTGCATCGCCCTGAGTCACCCTAAAACTGTCCTCCAGGCAGGCTACAGCCCCATCAACATGGCGTCATGGCACAGCAGCATCCCCATTTAGCATGAACATCATCAGGGGTTGCAGGAGAAGGTCCCCAGTGCCTCCTGGACCACAACAACAAGCTACAGCTTCTCCAGACATCACACCACCAGCACTCCCCCGCAGTTTTCCAGTTAAGGGATGATCTTTCCCAAAGCAGCCCAAGGAAACCTCAGCCAGAATTAATGCAGTCCTGTGGGCGGTTTAAGGACTGCTCACTGCTTCCTCAACCACCCTCCCTGGTTGGGGAGCTGCTGCAGCACATCAAAGGCAGACAGCAGAGCCCAGCTCTGCACCACCAGCACATCACTGGGACAGAGACAGCCTGAGCAGAGCCTGGATCTCCTCATACACCCCACCAGAGACATCTAGAAATCCTCCACATGAAGGCCACATCCCACCCCAGCTGGCCGGTGCCATGGGCTGCTTACCTTCTTGAAGGACGTCAGCAGTTTGATGCTCACAAACCCCATCTTGTTCTTCTGGACGTGTTTCAGGAGGAAAGCATCCTTGGACAGGTTCTCATCGGAGAGGTAGAACTCCACCTGAGAGACGATCCTCCGGATCAGCTGCGGGTCAGGGATGGAGTAGTTGCAGTCCAACAGATCAGCCCTCAGAACATCACTCATGTTGTGCAGTCTCCTGGCAGAGCAGCGGGGACACGGGCATGAGTTGGTGGCCTTTGGGATGAGTAGCACTGCCCAGTCCCAACCACAGTGGTGCAAGCAGCAGAGATGCCGGGGAGATCCAGGGCCACCAGCTTTGCCCTGGCTGCAGGGGAGCCACACCAGCCTGGACCTTCAAAACCTCCAGGTGCTGGGACCACCAGTGGTAGACCATGAACCTAAACCCATGCAAGACAGGGGACACATTCCCTTAGAGACAAACACAAGGCATGTCCCAGCAGCCACGTACCTGTTGAAGCTCTGCAAGAAGTCCTCCTGGCTGGGCAGGGTGAGCGAGCTGCTCTGCGGGGGACAGAGATGCAGCGCCGGGAAGGACTTCCTTTGTGCCAGCAGAGAGGTGCTGGGCTGGGAACCCAGCCCCGAGGCCACCCCAGAGCTACGCGATGACATTGTCCTTCATCTGGGACATGAGAATCACAGAATCTTAGTGGTTGGAAGGGACCTCTGAGATCATCGAGTCCAACCACAAAAAAAACCACAAAACAAAACAAACAAAAAAAACCACCACACAACAAAAAAACCCACACCACACCAAATACCCACCAAAAACACCGCACCCACCAACTAAGCCCCACACTCAACACCTCGCCATAAACCAATAACCTTGGGCACTAGAGCATGCCCTGAAGAGCCATGTCTATACGTTTCTTAAATACCTCCAGGGCTGGTGACTCCACCTCCTCCCTGGGCAGGCCGTTCCAGTGCCTGACCACTCTCTCGGGAAAGTAGTTCTTTCTAATATCTAATCTAAATCTCCCCTGCCCCAACTTCAGACCATTTCCTCTGGTCTTGTCGTTCGTCCTTTGGGAGAAGAGGCCAACACCTGCCTCTCTACAACCTCCTTTCAGGTAGTTGTAGAGGGCAATGAGGTCTCCCCTCAGCCTCCTCTTCTCCAAACTAAACATGCCCAGTTCCCTCAGCCTCTCCTCATAGGACTTGTTCTCCAGACCCCTCCCCAGCTTGGTGGCTCTCCTCTGGACACGCTCCAGCACTTCAATGTCTTTCCTGTAGTGAGGGGCCCAAAACTGAACACAGTACTCGAGGTGAGGCCTCACCAGTGCCGAGTACAGAGGCACGATGACTTCCCTACTCCTGCTGGCCACGCTATTCTTGATACAAGCCAGGATGACAGTTCTGGGATGCTTCCCGACTGCAGCCAGCCCCAGGGCAGAGCCCTGCACAGTTCTGGGATGCTTCCTGACTGCAGCCAGCCCCAGGGCAGAGCCCTGCTCTGGGTTGCATCCCCCAGCCCAGGGATGGGGAGCAGAGGCAGTTTGTTACCGTGCTCTTACCTGCTTGGCAGCGCTGGGAAGGGTGGAAAGTCCTGGCACTACATCCTAGAGACTGGCAGGCCCCAACCCTCCCCACCTCCAAACTAAGGCTTCTGAAAGACAAAGGGAAAAAGAAAGAAAAAGAAAGAAAGAAAAAGTTCTTTTGAGGCCAGCAGGCTGCTGGTTTATAAGAGCAGCCTCCCAGGAGGAGCCCCAGTGGGCGGGAAGGGACCTGCCCCCACCGGGACCCACCAAGCTCCAGGTGAAACCTGTCTGAGGGTTAAACAGCCCCAGCTGAGCCGGCTCCTGCTGCCAGGGCTGCTGGGCAGGCAGAGCAGGGGCAGGGGGAAACTGGTACCATCCGGTACTGGTACCCAGTAGCGTACTGGTAGCCAGTGGTATGCAGCAGGATGGTGATCTGCTGCCATGAGACATCTCGTTCTGTGCCTCAGTTTCCCCATCTCATAACAGTCACACTGAGCTGGGGGAATGGTTCAGTCCCAGGCACTGTTTGGGCTCCTGGTGCCACCAGGGCTACAGGCAAAGGTCCTTCTTCCTGCAGAAACACCCCCCACCCCACTGAGAGGGAGAAGAAGAGCCCCAGGGATGGGGTGAAGCCCAGGGAGGGGGTGATGCCGTGGGGCAGGATGGTGCATAGCTTTGGTACAAGATGGGGAAGGGGGTCTGGGATGGAACTCATCCCCATTGCTTGAGCCCCACATTGGGCAGCAGTGGGGAAGCAACATGGAGATGGGGACAGGGCTGTCGGGGCAGACTGGGGGCAATGGCAGGGCACAGGGGGCTGTGGAGGTGGCTGAGAACCAGAGCCCACATCTGGAGGGGTCGATGCTGGGAGCCTGACCTGGCTGCCCCTCAGCCCCTCTGTGTAGGCACAGGGTTTAGCTGATGTTGCTGTGCCCTGTGGTGACAAGGACCAGCCAAGGGCTCGTCACGTGGCCACCCTGAGCTTTCAAAATCATAGAATCATAGAATCGAATCGTCCAGGTTGGAAGAGACCCTTGGGATCATCGAGTCCAACCATCTCCCCTACTCTACAAAGTCCTCCCCTACACCATGTCCCTCAGCACTGCATCTAAACGGCCCTTAAACACAGCCAGGGATGGGGACTCCACCCCCTCCCTGGGCAGCCTGTTCCAATGCCCGACCACTCTTTGGGTGAAAAATTCTTTCCTAATGTTCAATCTAAACCTCCCCTGTTGGAGCTTGAAGCCGTTCCCTCTACCAACCTCTCTACAGTGTCCTTTCACAAAGTTGTAGAGAGTGATGAGGTCTCCCCTCAGCCTCCTCTGTCACCAGACTGGCAGCAGCTCCCACATGGGCAGGCTGGTCCCCGGGCTGTGCCACACTGTCCTGCTTGGAAGGTCATCCTTCTGGGATGAGCCACAGGGACCAGCAATGCCAAACTGCTTCTGGGATGTCACTGTCCCCTGGTTTCCCTGGGGTTGTCACACTTAGTGTCACTCCTCTGCCACCTCCCAGCTCTCTCTGCTGGTTGGGGACTGTATGGGGGGTGAGATGGTGGGTGGGAGAGAAAGTCCTGGGAGGAGAGAGGGAGAGAGGTGGCCAAGGGGCCACTGGGAAGGTGAGTCCAACAGCTGCGGTCCCTGAAGGGTGGTGTCACTTGGTGGCAGGTGACAAGGAGGAGACACCTCACTGAATTTTGCTGTGGGGGTGTACAGGCAGCATGGGGTGCAGGCAGCAGAGGGGGTGTACAGGC